GAGCTCCTGGTAGCATAGTGCCTAAGGCACTTGACTGCTAACCAGAAGGCTGGTGGTTCAAACCCACCACCCACTCCTTGGAAAGAAGGTTGGGCAATCTACTTTCCGTACTGATACTGCCTCAGAAAACCAAGGAGGGGTCACTATGAGTTGGGTCTGACTTGACATCACATAACAACAACAACATGCACATCTATGTCTGAAAATTTATTTAATAACGTATTCACTGTAGCATTATTGGGAAGTGAGAGGGTTGGTGATTTTTATTTATTTATTAATTCTTTCCTGTATTTTACTTTGTAATTGAGAACGTGCGTTATTAATATAAGCAGAAGAAAAAACAATTCCCTTTGTGAAAAAAGTTAAAACTGTAAATATGGAGTTAATCCTTTGAAGAAGTTTGATCTAGGCTGAAAATATACTTTCCAGAAAAGTTGAATGAGAACTGCAGCACGTGATGGGTAACTAGGATGCTTTATAGACTGGATGACTAGAAGAATCATGGTTTCTTTCTAAATTACAACCCTGGGATCCCTAATGAGAGGCAGAGTACTGGACTCCATGTAGAAGCATACCTTATTTTATTGTGCTTCACTTTATTGTGCTTGACAGATACTGCATTTTTTACAAATTGAAGGTTTGTGGCACTCTGCATCAAGCAAGTCCATTGGTGCCATTTTTCTAACAGCATGTGTTCATTTTGTGTCTCTGCCACATTTTGGCAATTCTCACAATATTTCAGACTTTTTAAGTAATGCTGTTACACAATAGACTAGTATAGGGAAAGCATAACTTTTATATGTATTGGGAAACCAAAAAAATTAGTGTGACTCACTTTATTGCAATATTCACTTGGTTGCAGTAGTCTGGAGGGGAACCTATAATATCTTCGAGGTATGGCAATCTACTTCCATAGTGATACTGCCTCGGAAACCCAAGGAGGGGTAGCTATGAGTCAGGTCCGATTCCACGGCATATAACAACAACATGCCTGTACTGTGGTTGGTTTCTTGTCTAGGAAAACAGCAAAGGTAGATAAATTCAAACTTAAAAGTTATTTTTAAAGGCAAAATTGAGGTGAAATTTTAAGAGCCAAAGTGTTTTCTATTAATTTGTGTGTGTGTGTGTGTGTGTGTGTGTGTTTACTTCTTTTTTTGTTTTGTCTTGGACCATTTGTTCTTAGATTCCAAGTTTATCATGAGTCATGGCCCATATCATGCTTCATTATTTTCCTTGTAAATATTATATCCAAATGTCTGTGATTTGTTTTAAGATTGTGACACCTACTATGTGTATTGAATCTTTTAGCACAAATTAAATAAAATTAGTAAATGCTTCCTCTTGATTGTTAGTTTTATCCTGCCATTAGTACAGGCATACTAAAAGGCTGCATATGCAAACAAATTCCCAGTCTAGAAATATGTACTAAAGACTATCAAGAGAAATTCCCATCATACTCACAATAAATTCTAATTCTCCTTCCTCTACAATTATTTACAACTTCATTTCTTAAGATCTGAAATAAAATGAAGGCCATTGTTAGAATTCTCAAGAGGAATCTTCTAGTGCTAGTTACCAGTATACTGAATTTAACTGTGTTAAAGAACAGATATAAAATAAACTGTAAATGAACTATGCATATGTTTTATCAATAATTAATTTTTTTTTTTTAGCCACTGATCTTATCAATAACTTGCTGCAAGTAAAAATGCGAAAACGCTACAGTGTAGATAAGACCCTAAGTCATCCTTGGCTGCAGGTAAGAAAAATCAATCATTGAATACTATCTCTGTTGGATGAGCTTCTTAAATATTTATAGAATTTTGATATTATATACGAAAACCTTTTTTCATAGTTTTTAAAATGTAATCATTTTCATATCAATTTGACAAAATCCATGCAACTTCTTGGGATTTAATAATAGTTTGGTTTTTCTAAACCACTTTTTCTATCAGGAAAATTTGACAGGGGAGAAATACACACCCGCAAAAGGGGGTTGTCATAACAGAACTCAGAGGACCAGATTTCAAAAGCATCTGTATGTGTAATCCTGATAAATGTCCAAATAGATGCCCATCTGGTCATGCACTGTACTTGTTTGCAAGCTATAATTTTAAATCCTAGGCTTTTATTCATGGAACAAATGCATAGCAAATATGAAGTATATGCATATAATTGTGTTCTCTTAAATATTTCTTATTTTCACATTGAATTTAAAAACTAGATAAATGATATCTGTATTACTCTGAACTACTAGATGATTATTTGTGTTAAAGTTCAAAGAAATACAACAGTCCAAATTGCTTGATATCAAATGTTAATTGTCCACCCTTTAATCCATGGTACTATCTAAACAATATGCATTTATAAAAGTTAGCCAAATAGGATGGCTTAGGTGCTGATGCTGTGACTTCATGGTGAAAGATGGTGTACCACTGCTAGAATGGAAGAGAAAAGGTTAATTTATAGATTATGGAAACTGATAGATTATGAAACAGCATGTTTTGAGTTTTAATGATCTCTATACTAATGCTTTGAAACTTCTGCTTCAGGATTATCAGACCTGGTTAGATTTACGGGAGCTGGAATGCAAAATTGGGGAACGCTATATAACCCATGAAAGTGATGATTCAAGGTGGGAGCAATATGCCCGCGAACAGGGGCTGCAGTACCCTGCACACCTGATCAACCCGAGTGCTAGCCACAGTGACAGTCCTGAGACAGAAGAAACAGAGATGAAAGCCCTCAGTGAACGTGTCAGCATCCTCTGAGTTCCATCCCCTATAATCTGTCAAAACACTGTGGAATTAATAAATACATACGGTCAGGTTTAACATTTGCCTTGCAGAACTGCCATTATTTTCTGTCAGATGAGAACAAAGCTGTTAAACTGTTAGCACTGTTGATGTATCTGAGTTGCCAAGACAAATCAACAGAAGCATTTGTATTTTGTGTGACCAACTGTGTTGTATTAACAAAAGTTCCCTGAAACACTAAACTTGTTATTGTGAATGATTCATGTTATATCTAATGCATTAAACCTGTCTCCACTGTGCCTTTGCAAATCAGTGTTTTTCTTACTGGAGCCTGCTTTTGGTAAGAGAGAGTACTTGCCCATGAAATAGTTCTGTTCTGTCTGGCCCATTGATACTGTCATCATAAGCAAACTCTTGAAGAGTACATTATTACCAGTGTTCTATGAACAATTCCAAAACTCATGTGGAAAAATTGACTGATGAAGGGGAGAATGGATGTACAATCCTAAGACACAAATGCATGAGAATTTTGATGTATAGTTTCAAATCCTTTGCCTGCCTGTCTGGTGTGCCTCATATATTTAAACTCAAGTAAATGCACCCAGGCATGCAGGGACTACTGCTCTTAAGCCTAAATGCCTTAGAAATGTAAACTGCCATATATAACATATACATATACATTTCCCCCTTTCTTACAATAAATGCCCTGCTGTACTATGGAAAATGAACAGCTAAGCAACTTTTCACCTTTGTGTATTTTTCAATAATAACAAATAAATATTCTTAAAGTATGTGTGCATCTGTGATTTATTTTGATTTGCAGCTCACATTAGTGGTTTTAAGATGTATCTGCTCAAGAATCATGTTTGGTAAAGTTGAGGGCCAACACAAACAGAAGAAACCCTCAATGAGCTGGACTGACAATGGCTGCAACCGTGGACTTAGATATACGAACAATCTTGAAAGTGGTGCAGGATTGGGCAACGTTGTGTTCTGTTACATATATGGTTGCTGTGAGTTAGAGCTGATGCAGTGGCAGCAAACAATGACAGCTCGAGAAGCATGTAAAGTCTCATGATCTCGAATTTGGCCTTATTAACTCTGAAGCTGTAACCATGGCTTTCAAAATACAGCAAGACCTTTTTCAGCTTTTACATACCTAATATCTAATAGAAAAGAAGGCTTTTAAGGGGAAATTTGCCAAGGCCAAACAGGATAACTGAAGACTTAAGAGAGAAGATAGCAAATAGCATTCTTAGTGTAGCTTCCTGATTTAATCAGTATAAAAAACAACAAGAAGAACTGAACTCAAATCAACCCTATAGGACAGAGTAGAGCTGCCAACAGGGTTTCTAAGGCTGTAAATCTTGACAGAATCAGACTGCCACATCTTTCTCCTGTAGAATGACTGGTGGGTTTAAACCACTGACCTTTTGGTTAGGAGCCAAATGTTTTAACCACTGCACCACAAACCAGGGCTTTATTAGAAGAATAAGTCTAGTTTCTTTTCATATTAGCTAAACAATAAGGTATTAAGATGAACTACAAAACCACATAAATATTGGCAAATGATCCCTAAAGGGAGAGCCAATTGAAAGGTTCTATAGCTCGGAGAAGAGAAAGCTAGCTTTGGACACAATAAACCTTAGGTATATTCAACAAGTATCAAGAGCTGTTTTTCTTGTAGTAGGGTGATAATGAATGGCATACCATAAAACTGGAAAAAAAAGCGGGGGGAGGTTAAATGCTTGGAAGAAGTTTACAACTGTTGTGTGACACTTGAATATATTAATAAAGAGAGTAAAAATATTCTTTGGGAAATTTCAAGATGCAGATAGATAAGTATGCTAAGACAGCAGACTATATTTCCATTTGGAGGGTTGGAGGAGAATGCTGGCTCTTTCTAATGGTTAGTGATTGTTTTATATTATTACTGAATTTTAAACAAATAGTTCTGAAAATTTAAAATGTCTTCAATCCAGTGGTTGCCTGCTGGGTACAGGTGCATTTGTAAGTGTCTGTACTCAAGTTAATAAGCATAGACAAGGACACAGACACATCCATATACTCTGACAGCATTCATCAGCTTGACAAAGTAGAATACGTTAATCTTAACCAGTAGGACAATGACTCTATTGCCTGTGCTAGGAATATAACTAGCACCTTTTCTATGGCATAAGTCTAAAGTAAGCAATTTCAGGAAGTGGTGTGAAGACATATAAACCCCTTCCCTCTTGGTATGCAATGTATTATAAATTAGAGGATCATAATTTAACTTATAATCATTTATTTCATATTCACAAATATAGTTCATCAACTGCCGTGTATAATGTACTCTACTTTTTTCCTCATTTGTTTAGGTATGCTAAAGAAATCAGGACAAGAAGCTATGATAATGTAAGCCATAATGTTATGAAAGAAGCCTAGAATCCTTGATGATTGAGAAGAGGAACCTAATGCGAGTTACTGTGCATTATGAAACCACATAGTAGTTAATTTTGTGGCAAAAATTTAGTGTATTTCAGTTCTATCCAGCTTTCTGCTACACTATAAAATTTTTTAAATCTGAATATGGCATGTCCCCTGCCTAAAGGACCTTGGTGTCTATTAGACAAAAACAAACTATAAATTGTTGGTGCTTTTATAAAATAATATGTAAGTATATGAGGTTTGGAAACACATCAAAACCAAATCCATTGCCGTCCAGTCAATTCTCACTCACAGTGACCCTACAGGCAGAGTGAAATAGCACCATAGTGTTTCCAAAGCTATAAATATTTATGGAAGCAGATTGCCACATCTTTCTCCTGTGGAGTGGCTTGACGTGTTTGAACCATCAGACTTTTGGTTAGCACTTAACCATTGTGCCACCAGAGCTCCTTAGGGGTCACATAATAATGGATGGAGAAAGGCAACAGGATGATGCATGAGCAGAGAAATTGGTAGGTGTTTAATAGATTTGAATAGGAGAAGACAACCTAACCAAAGCACAAAGATCAGAAGAACACTAATAGGCAGACAAAAGTAGTCCTTCAAAGCAGGAACATAAGGTAAGGAGAGGTGCTGGGGAAATAAACTGAGTAGATAGAGGTGATGTGCTAGATCAGGAGCCCCTTGTATATTTCTCTAAAGTATTTGTAATTTTTTTTGTGTCAGTCAGAAAGAAACCATTCAAACTCTCTAAACAGAAGAATGGGTGACATCAAGTTCATGCTATGGGGAGCACTGAGACTGGATCAAAGCCAGGGAAGACACAGGGCCAAAAAGCAACTAAACTTTTGCAGTAAAACATATGGAATGATTACAGTCTGAACTAAGCAGTAAGTAGGAAGGTAAATGAAGTTGAAAGTTTGAATGCACCAGCCACTCCAAGGGAGAAAGCTGAGGCAGTCTGCTTCTGCAAAGATTATAGCCTTGGAAACTCTATGGAAGCAGTTCTATTCTGTCCTGTAAGGTAACTATGAGTTGGAATTGACTTAATGTCAGTGGCTTTGGGTTTTGATAAGTTTGTTTTCTTGGGAATGGATTTTACCAGCTCCACTGCAACTGATGTCGGTCTCCTCATCAGTAAGGCTCCTGGTCCTCCCAGTTAGCCCTACCCTGTGAGAACTAGCTAGCCACACAGCTGAAGGGGAACGGGGGTGGGAGCAGGGTAAAAGGCCACCAACTTCCATGGTTTATACCAACATTTACTAGTGTTTCTTGAATAAATGCCTCTAAATTTGTTATATGCCTTTGATCTATTTTCAGAGTCCTGCAATGGTTGTTTTGAATAATTTTGTCAGTTTTATTATTGTTCATTGAAGAAAGAATTTACTGAGTTCCTCACTCCACTAGTCTGGAAGTCCCCAGAGAAATTAATATCAAGTTCACTGCAAGACTCTCCTTAGGAGATTAAGCAAACACTCTGAAAACTTAGCTAATCCACTATAAGTAAATGGATACAAAACATACTGCCATCGAGTCAGATCTGACTCCTAGCTACACCTCCTTGGGTTTTCAAGGTGGTATCACTATGGAAATAGATTGCTCAACCTTCTTTGTGAGGAGTGGCTGGTGGGTTTGAACTGCCAGCCTTCTGGTTAGCAGTCAAATGCCTTAGGCACTATGCCACCAGAGCTCCTTAAGTAAATGGATAGAGGGATCAATTAGGATAAAACAGTAAGGGAATTTTAAGTTTTCTTATGATAACTACTAAACTATTAGACTGTTATATTTTAATTCTCTTGTGAGAGTGAAAACATCTAATTTTAAAATGTCATTTAATCCTTTTTTCTCTCTTTTCGACTCTGTCTGACCACCATGACTCCCTATACCCAAATGAGTAAAAATATTCCATATCTCTCATATAAAGTATGACCTGAGTATGTGTGGGTGTGGCAGAGCTAGTCTCGGGACAGCAATATCCTGTTGGAGAAGCACCTGCTAAATTATTTTTCCATAAAAAAAAAAAAAAATTGGCACCAGAGGGTGACTATTCTGCATTATTTCCTCAGCATTTCAATCTGCTTTTCTCCTTTGCCCCTCTGATTTGAGTTGTTTTTCTTTCTCCCTGCTCTAAACTTTTCTTGAAGGTTCAGAGAAAGAATTCTTTTTTAACACCTCCCAGACTGAGTTTCCCTTCTTTCCCCCTGAGCCTTCTCTTGATCCTTTCTTGCCTCCTGTCTTGGATTGAATTTTGTCACCCCAAAATATATGTCAACTTGGGTGGACCATGATTCCCAGTGGTTGCCAATTATGTAATGATGTAATCTGCAGTTATGTAATGATGTAATCTGCAGTTATGTAATGATATAATCATCCCCCATGATGTGATACGATATGATCACCTAATCAGTTATAAGGAGATTAGGATGGGATGCAACACCCTTACTCAGGTCCAGCCCTGATCTAATGTATGGGAATCAGGGTGAGATGAAATACTTTTACACAGGACACAGCCCTGATCTGATGTTAAGAGAATGTCCCTGGGGTGTGGCCTGAATCACATTTTACCTTGTTGTTGTTGTTGTTATTTGCCGTCGAGTCGGCCCCGACTCATAGCGACCCCTCCTTGGGTTTCCGAGGCAGTATCACTACGGAAGTAGGATTGCCCAACCTTCCTTCCGAGGAGTGGCTGGTGGGTTTGAACCTTAGAAGAGATAAAAGGAGAGGGGAGCAAGCAGAGAAGATGGGAATTGACTACTATCAAGAAAGAAAAGCCAGGAGCAGATAGCACTCTTTGGACAGGGTCTCTGCACTGAGAATCTCCAAGACCCAGGGGGAGATTGATCCCAACACACATGAAGAACTCCAAGGAATGCTGGGCCCGCAGATATTGAAAGGAGACCAGGAACTTCTCCCAGAGGAAACAGGGAAAGCCTTTTCCTAGGGCTGGCCCCCTGCATCCAGACGTTTAGCCTCTGAAACTGTGAGAACATAAATTTCTGTTTGTTAAAGCTGTGCACTTGTGGTATTTCTGTTACAACAGCACTAGAGAACTAAGACACCTCCTTTGGGTCAGTCCTCTGGGACAGCCCTCAATTATCCTGCCTTTGTTTAGTATCCACCAACAAATTACCCCTTGACTTAAACTCAGCTTCCCAACTTCCATAACACACACACACAACGATATAAACAAACAGACTAGGAACTTGATTCTCCTTCTGTTGAATATCTAATATCTAACTTTTCTGTCTGCCAAATTCGTCATATTTTTTCCCTTTGGCTTCCTTAATTATATAATATGGAATTCCAAATTGATTTTTTTTTTTTCAATATAACATAGAGGTTACAGACCCAAATG